AGGGTGAGTTCAAAAAAAAACCCCCCCCCCCCCCCCGGATTTTAGAACTTAAAACTTCAATTTATTTTTATTTTTATTTTTTTATTTTAACTTCTCAGTATACATTGTAGTTGATTTTCATGTCCCTTTACCCATTCCTCTTTCCCCCTCCCTCACTCCCCCCCACTACATCATATCTGTTCACTTGTCTTAACAAGTTCAAGGAATTTAAAACTTCAATTTAAAGTTGAGCTTCACAAAATTATTTCCCCCTTGCCTCAGCACTAAAAAAATTAATTTAGGAATGTGTTGCTTCTCATGCTTTTCAACCAGAGAATAGAAATAGGAGTGTGGTATGTTTGGGTGGGAGGGGTGTCTATGTATGTACATATACCTAAATAAAAACTTTCAGAACAGAATCTGCATTTTCTTCCCATTTGGTCACTTAAGGACATTCTGAATATCAGTACATGTACTGGCTCCGTTTCTAATACCCATCTGAAAATCCAGGAATTAATCTCATGGACATTTGTTTTGTTTTAAGTTGGTTTATTTAAAATGTACTATTAATATGCTTCAAAACTGAAATGCCTGGGTTCTGTGCAGTGGTTCCTATCTTTAAAGTATCTTGCAGGGCCTTCATATAAACCTTTTACATCACCATTAAGAGAAATTAAATTATTCTAAAAATGCTTGGTGAATACCTTAAGAGAACCAGAAAAATAAACAAGTACTTAGACATCTAAAACAAATCAAGAAAATTAGGTATTAGGCTAAAAGACACTGAATTTAACATTTCTTCTCTTTCTTTTTTCTTCTTGTTCAAAGTTTTTTTTTTTTTTAATTGCTAAGGAAACACTAAATAGAGCTAGCTCTTTGCAGCACCTGTCATGTGCCAGGGACTAGGAAAGTACTGCTGTAATTTATTATCATGTAGACCACAGGCTGGGGAGTCAGTCAAATGTGGATTTAAATCTAGCCTCTACACTTACTGTAGGAACTGGGGCAAGTCATTTAACCTCTCTGGGCTTCCTTCCTTCAGTGTCCAGTGGAAAAAATAAGAGCAACCTCAGAGAGTTACTAAGAGGATTAAAGGAGATAGTACATATAAGTATAACATATATAAAAATATATAAAACACTTATCACGAGGCCAGTAGCTGTTATTATATATTTTTAATCCTCACAATATCTGTACCAGTTTGGGGAGAGGAAACCAAGGATCAGAATGTCTAAATAACTTGTCTATGGCAAAAACAGAGCAGCTAAGATCAGATCCAGGTGTACTTGATTCCAAAATATATATTTTTTCCCCAGGTCTTTTAAACCAGTGATAGAAGAATCGATCAAAGAAGTAAGAGTGAGTATATAAGTAAAGGAAGCAGGTATTGGAAGACCTGGTGTGGTTGGTGCAAATGCTGAAATTTTACAGAATTTAGGAGCTGAAACCACCTAAAGAACAATCAAGCCAGACTCATTAACAAGTAAGTCCATGGACGTATCTCCTGTCCATCACAAATCTCAAAGATAATCTTAGCTCTGTTTTGTTTTAACACGAAAGCAAACATTCTCCAGAAATGTGAAGTAGCATTATTTTTTCATGAATTCAATGTAGGAAACCACCTTAATTTAATTTATTTTTTTATGTAATAGAAATGTATTTTTTTATTGATTATGAGTATTCATGGCGTACAAACATGACCACTCAAAACCACCTTAATTTTAAAGAACTGTTCCCATTTGTTTATAAGGTTACCATATACATATGGGCTTCCTTAAATAGGTGGATACAGTTGCAACAAATCAAATCTCACCTCTAGTCACTGTACAGTTATGTCATTAAAAGCCAGATTAATCACAGATGAGTTAATAAGAAAATGAGAGCCTCATCACAAGGTCACGTTTATGCAGGGATTCTAAGTTATAGACATTTGAATCACTGGAAAAGTATTTGGGGATGTTCTTTATACATTTTCCCAGCTAAATCAATGAAAATATTTAGGCGTAGCTGACTGTTGGTTATCTCCCAGAATCCATTCTCCATTTCTTCTATAGTAAAAGAGTTTAAGCTGGCCACATGGCACCAAATTCTCTCCTGTGGGCTTTGGTTGGAAGTGATGTGTGTTTCTTCCAGATTTTGCTCTTACAACAATTGGCAGTGAATTTCACTGGCCCTCTTCCCACTCCCTTTCTTCTGATGGGGAGGTGATGACAGTGGGAGCAGCCCCCTTGGACCCAGAGATGAAGGTGACATGTTGAGGATGGCACAGCTCCCCTACTAGTCCTATACAGTTTACTTCCAGACTGTTAACATAAACAGTAACAAAATTCTATCTTGTTTAATTCACTGGCTTTGGGGTTTCTTGTTACTGTAGTCTAGCCTACTCATTACACTTCTAAGTCTTGTTGTTCTTAACACTTAAGGATGCTTCACCAATGGTCCTAGAAAGATAACATTTTATTATACATATACTACAGAGCCTCTTAAGCCAAACAACTTTTATAAAAACATTCTATATCACCAAACACAGCTACTGAAGATACATACATTGGACATAAACATATTTTAGGAATAGATTAGATCCCTTTTATAGAGAGTTTATTTTATATTAGCAAGGCAGGTGAGAATACTTCAAAAAGTTTGTGGAAACGTGGAATTAAAAGATATACGAATCTTTCCATGAACTTTTTGGAGTATCCTCATACATTATTTACAGCTATCCAAGAAAACATGGTTAATTTATAAAAGTCAAATATTTCACTCTAGGAATAAATATTTAGTAGGTAAATTCAACAATGATGGCAGAAATGAACATTTTTCTCCCACAGCATTTTATTTCTCTGTTGCTCCATGATTCTAAGTCATTCCTGGGTCTTGAGCCAATACACAATGACTGTCATGAGCAATTCAATTGATACTTCCATAGATGAGGTGGAAAAGAGGGTAAAGGTCCTCAGAGAGGCTAGATCACAATGACAGAGACTGTGATGGTTATAAGAATGTTGGCTGCATGTGTGCTCCTGCTAAAGCTGCAAATGATAGCTGTTTGGCTCACAGAGCATTTACTTTCTCACAGTGATTCACATAGATTTGCAGAAATCCTTACTGACCTCTTCTGAGGAATGAACTTGTTAGCTGTTAGATATTTCTGGAAGGAAAGTTTCAAATCCTAAAATAATAAAGGTTTGCAAACTAAACTCCTGTTTTTAACAGCACACCTAGATCAGAACTTTTCTTACCAATGAGAATCTGATGATACATTAAAAATATGCTTCAAATACATTTACTCTAGAAAAGTTATACTTTAATGAAAAGAAAAAAATCTATAGGCATATAGGGTTTTTCCTACCTTCCGTCTTCTGGTCATCAAAAGCTGATTCTAACGGTGGACCAAAGAGGGGAGCAAGGGCCACAGTGTCATCCGGAGGTTTTTTGCTAAATCACACAAATTAAGGAAAAATACAGAGAAAGGGATAAAAAATTAATGCTCAAAAAGATATACAAGCTTTCAAATATTGTTCTTGGTGGAACAAGTGTATGTATGCACTTGTGTGTATGCACACAGGCATGTGTATACAAAGCTCCCGTAGGGCTAAAAAGTATTATATAAGTCTGTCAAGCGCATTATGGGACAAGAGACTTGGCAGGAGATTAGATTCCTAGTTTTCAATGGAGGACCAACGTGCTGGTCCGACAGAAATAAGTTGAAGAAGAAAAGCTCTTTCAAAGCATCATGATACCCAGAAGAGATAATACTAGAAATGACAGTTGGTTGCAAAGCCATTTTTTCCCCTAAGATCTCAAGAACCATTCATATTTGTTTTTACCACATCTCAGTGTTGTAGTTAATGTAGTTTATGCTTAGTGGAAGTCAAGCATAGGGATGTTAAGAAGCAAGCCACACAGGAAGTTTGTGTTTGAATAAAAAACTGGATCTCCCAGCATACTTCATCCTTCTGTGCTCCTACCTGATACACTAGTTATAATCTCCTAATGCCCTAATACAGCACATCTCAGAAAGAGAAGTGTATTGAGAAATCAGGAAGAACAGAGAATATTAAGTTAAACTCTTATATTTTGTCCTAATCATTATTCTAGATGGATTATTAAGAAAAGGCTGTATAGTCTTCTCCATTTCTTCTCCAGACTTGATTTCCCTCATTGACCTTAATTAGTTCTATGTATTTGTGGTGAGGGGTGAGGAGGGGAGAGGAGAGATGTTGGAGAAGGAGAGGAAAGATTTAAAAGGACCCATCTTTTGAATAGAAATAGCAGTCTTTTTGGTAAACAAGGCACACTGGTACGATACTTAACCCAAAGAATACACTGTAAAATACAATGCTTTGTCAAACACAAAAAGCAAATAAGAGATTCCTTTGGTGTGTGGCAGGTGGAAGGGATCATGAAATTTTATCCAAATAAACAGGCTTCTCTTCATATTTCAGATCATATATAATCATACTTCAGATCAGCATTCCAGACACCGACAGACCTCTTTATACAGAACTTTAGCCTTCCCATTAGTGAGGGAGCCTCACGTTCTGATAGGCAGTTACTTAGACAGTGCAGAGTACTTCCCTAAAGGTCTCCCTCAGGTTGCATTTGTGAGAAATGATAACATATTTGGACCATACCATGGATATATGGACTTACATGTATAGGTAGGCCCTTTATTAATAAGAGCTGAGAATTTAGCCCAAAGATTTGTTGGTTGTTAAAAATTCATGATGCCTTGCATAAAACACAACAAATGTCTTTCACTCTAACCTTATAAGTTCTGGAGTTGGTGTGGAACGCCTGGGTCTTGCCACTTCTTCACCTGATGCACAGGACAAAGGAACTTTTTAGGCATATTCTTACCATTCCCTTCTGATATGTCTTATGAACTAAGTTTGGAAACACAGATTTAAGTCCCATCAATAAACAACTCAGCATGAAAACTTTGCAAAACAAAACCTCTTCCTGGCATTGCAGCAGCCATATATTAGGCTACATATGTAGTGGCATTTTCTCTGGCATTTGTAAACCTCATTAACCAAGGAACTACTATGATAAGCCATCAAATAGAAGATTTGAATATTGCAGAGCTTAGTGGAATAGCATACCATTCTTCGAATGTCTGCTGCTTTAATTGGTTCTGCTTCCAAATTACCATAAAAGAATACTAAGCCAGGCCATATGTATATAGTACATAAATCTAGCATTTTCTGCCTGTTCTTTTCTTGAAATGCCAAGAAAATGTTATATCTTTAACTATGAACCATGAATTTAGAATTCCCTAGAATGTGTTTCATGCAGCAGAGGAAAAATTTGCCCCATGTATATTATACCGTATATCATATCACTTTGAATAAAATTTCCACATAAAATAACACAGAATGGGTAAGTTGCATCTATCTTCAGTCCCTTCTGCCCTCCTCCTCTCACCACCCCCTCAACAAATACATACTTGATTAAATTCATTTCTAAAGTTAAATGATACAGCAAGAGTTGACAACTAGAGATAAAAATAGCCAAAAAAAAAAAAAAAAGAGAGAGACAGAAAGAGCAATGTTTTTCCAGAAAACATATCTATTTTCAGAATTTAAACATTAATCATTCAGAACCCACAGAGGCCCTCCATCATTACAAGAATTCTTTGCTGTAAAAGTAAAAAATTTGTAAGCCTAAAAATCAAGTCCATAGTGTATATAATTCCAATGTATATATACTCTACCATCCAAGGAACTATTTCTTCCTTTAAATCATACTCTATTTCTCGTAGCTAAGATATACTTACTGGATAAGTTCCTTTTAATTGCACCCTAGAATTAGAAATAGACACTATAAGGTTTAAGACCACATATATGTTATGTACAATATGTATTATTTCTGTCAATTCAATTAAACTGAACTAAAATAAATGCAGATAGGGAAAATGAAATTTTTCTCAGAACTGCATTCAAGTTGGAAATTGTAGACAAACAACCATACATTAGTTTTTCACTTTACTCAAAGATTATAGAGAGAAAAGAAGGCAAATCATGTGTTCTGAATGAGAAAATCCCCTTACCTGGGTAAATTTGGTAAGTTAAAGACAGATATTGAATAGCACATTAGATTAAAAAAAACCCCAAAACCTCTTGAACCCTAGCAGATGAGAAAGTAAATCCAAGTTTAATATATGATTGATGTTTGAAAGTTTTAAAATGTATTTAGGAGGATTATCTGTTCCCAGTCAGGTGAGGTCCCCAAGTTGCTAGTAGTAACAGTCATTGATATACTAATGGAATTTAAAAGATGTAAGTGGCAAGTGTTAAAGGGAAGGGAAACTTAGAGTCATCTGCCACTGAATGAATTGTTTCATTCAGGGAGCCAGGGAACTCCATCCTGCTCATCCATCCTTCCCCCCAATTTCTTCCTCTTGCCTGCCACTGTGCTCACCAAGCCACTAATTAGGAGTCATTTCTTTTGCTCAAGGCATTGTGATACTATGAGAATACAAATATCACTGGCAGGAATAATCTGAGCAGGTCATCTCCAGCTTTTATAATGCCTTAGCAAAAATTTATTCGGATGATAAAAGGACTGACCAGATAAAAAGTTTTGATTCAAAACCAGAAGCTGTAAAATGTCCTTAACATGAGATGCCTCCAGAAAAGTAGATCACTAAGAGGTTTGTATCATGGGGTAGGGCATGGCTTGGCATGGCCTTCCTCAGGGGAATGAGAGGGATAGAGTTGAGGTCAAGGAAAGTGGAGGTATAAGAAAGTATTTCAAGGGGTAAGACCATGAATTAATTTGGTGGGTGGCCACCAAACACACATTTTTTTCTTACTTTCTGACTTTCATGAAGGCTCAACCTGGTAGTCACGGATATGTTTTCTTCTCTCAAATTATAACATTAACAACATAGGAGAAGATCTAGTACCTCTGTAATAGACCTGTAAGAAGCCTCTTTCCCTCTTTCCTAAGGATATATGAGAATTTTCTGTCCCATTTTGAACTCATTTATGATAGAGGAACAGTTTCAATCTCAGCAAGCATCCATTAGATGTTTTCTGGTGGGTGGCTCAATCTCAAACTATATATTCTGGCTTGTTTTGTCTAATAATGCAATCTGTTCCCTCCTACTATGTGTGCCATATAGGGAATTATTACATTATTAGTAAACACTTTTAAATAAATATGGTCATTTAAATCTTTTATGGCCGTTATGGGAGTTTGGAACAAGTTTGCTTTTGGAAAATAAGGATTTTAGTTAGAGAACAAATTGTTTAAATGGGACTTAAAATGTTTTTCTGGGTTATGGACCCAGACAGTCAGAATTTTATTAATAAGGTCTGAAGGAAGAGATACAAGGGCTTTAGTTCAAGTAGTCAACTAAAAGATTAATAAGCTGGCATTGAGAAAATAGGGCCCACCTAGTATTGTGAGAGCTGAAATCCAGGACTTAGGAGATCTCAGGGGCTGTATTGAAGACTTTTGGTCTCTCTGTCCTACTTCTTTTATTAAAAATGTAAAACTCATGAAACCAAGAAAGGAACAAAGCTTCTTTTGTATTCATCAATTCCCAAGTGTGTCGACTCATTTAAAAGTTATTTACTGCTGAAAGGCACGAAAGAAGTCCCTGTAATATTTTTATTAAATACTCCTTGAGAATGAACCATCACAAGTTAACTGCAAGCAAGACATGGCAGAAACACGCAAGAAAACTCTGTTGTTTAGAAATTAGGAAAAATAGAACTAGTATCGATTTAGGAAGCAACAGATACTCAATTGACCCGCAGCAAGTCAGCAGCAACAGAGAAAAGTCCTTTTGTCTGGGGGACTCCGCGTGTAGATCTTTGATGGCCTTGATGCTGCAGCAGGACCCATCCAGAACAAGGTTAAGGTGATGTCGACCATACAAACGACGTTCAGGAAAAAAAGCCCATTGAATTCAAAATCCTCTTCCCACCGAGTGACCCCATGTCCCTCCTTTCAATGATTGTTTGTTGTTATATATACACGAGGGCACTTCAAAAAGTTTGTGGAAAAACAGAAGTAAAAGATAGTACAAATCTTTCCACAAACTTTTTGAAGTGCCCTTGTATACTGCAAATTAAATTTCTTCATTTTGAATTAATGAATTTCCTCTTTCCTTTTTTTATAAAAAGCAATTTACAATTTGAGGTGTCACCTAGCAGCTGGGTTGGAATCATCCACACCTGAAGACACCACCTTCAAACCTCAGCCGTGTAGTTTAAACAGAGAACCACCTACTTGTCCCCTGGGGCAGGGTATTTGCTTTAAATAATAATTAATTAATCAGATCGGCACGGGCCTAGGGATATTTCAGAGTGTTGTTTTCAGTTCCATTTCTTCTCTCTCTTTTTTTTTTTTCCTTTTTGTCTTTTTTCGTGACCAGCAACGGATCGCAACCCTCAGTGTCACGCCCGAACCGGACCGGGACCAGCAACGGGATCGCAACCCTCGGTGTTGCGTCCGCACCTCGCTCAGCCAGTGAGCGGGAACCGGTCTGTATGTGGGATCCGAACCCTCAGTGGGAGCGCCACTGCGCTCCCAAGCGGCGCACTGTAGCAGTGCGCCACCGGGCCGGCCCCCCATTTCTTCTCTTAAAGGACTGATGAGATAGATGAGAGTCAATTCAAACACAGAAAGATCCTTCTTTTTGTTGATTTAAATTCATCACACCCTACAACCTGAGGAAAATGACTGAAATCTCACTTTGAACAATGCAAACTGACATTGATCTACCCTTCGAAAGTTTGTTTTCAGTGATGAAATTTAGAATTATGTGCCAGCCTGGTAGTGTTGAAAGTATATCTACTGCTCTGAAGATGGAAATTATAATTATGTACCAGCATATACTGACCAACATAAGTTACGGTTCAGGGACATATTTTATATTCAGGTTTAAAAACGATGTGGCTTGAAAATGTTTTCCTTAACTTTCTTTATAATTTTCTTCTTCTTCTTTTTTTTTTTTTTTTTTTAAATCACTTTGCTATCAACTTCTATGGTACTTTCTGGGCCAGTCTCCAGGGCCTGGATGCACACACACACCATGCACACATTTTTCACACTTAGCACTAACAGTTGTGATTCCCATGTATTAATTTACTTTGTTATGGAAAAGCGTTCTGATAATTCTAAAATATGCCCCTGACACTTAAAGGGCCAGAGGCTTCTAACCAGTAAATCAAATTCATCTACTTCATTCACACTGGGTTATCATAAATTTAATGGGAAATCAACCTGGTCACCTTGCCTTGGCAGCAATTTTCTCTGTACATGTTTAAGTAGAAATGTTGAGAGTTCTTACCGGGCTGCGCCTCTGTGATCAGCAAAAAGGAAGAGAGAACAGACACCTAGTCAGAGAATGACGGATCAGTCAACAGGCTTGGGTAATAGAAGACTTCATAAACAGCTAACCAAACAGACTCCAAATAACTGGGCCAAAGAAAGACAGACAGTCATTGTGATTAGGACTTATTTAAACCACACAATGCTTTGGAGAACCTTAAAGAGAGACTGTATATTGTATAATACAGCTTCGCTCATGTGCATGTACAAGTTTTAGTTATGCATATGTATGAACAAGGCAGAAGTGTACAAGAAAATTTTACTGACATTCTGAAAGTCTTGTCATAAGGAGTTTTTCTCCAGTTATTTGGGGAGGGAGGACTTAGAGAGTAGATAGTACAGGGCAAACTGTTTCCCTACACAGCAGGGCATTAGCAAACATTATACACATAATGCATTTCACACATAATTAGAGCCTAAAGGGAGCCTCCAAAAAATCAGAGGTAGGATTGAGAGCCCTTTTCCTTGTCTGGCTTTTCTCTTTAGTGTTTTAAAGAATGTGTGCTTATGAGGACTTTTTTATTTTTAAGTGTCTGTTCTTGGGCTGGTGATTGGGCTGCCTCTACCAATGGGTAGGAGTGTGATGGGGCAGATGAGGAGCCCCTAACAAACACAGGTGTGAATAATGAAAACTGTCCAGCATCAGTAGAACACTGGTGGTCCAGATGATGTCTGGAAAACACGATGAGCAGATGTATATCTTCTTTCACTCCTCAAGCCTTGCTTATGGCTGCTATCAATTTACCCCCAACAATCTCTGATTGCTCTTTCTCCTTAGGATCTTTCTGCCATAACAAGAATGACTACAGTGTGCACAGGGAAAGAAATGCTGCTCAGAGTTTCACTTTCAGGGTGTGAGCTAATCCATGCATCCACTAGAGGCTGCCTTCCAAAATTCAGGCCAGGAGCACAAACACAAAAGTAGTGAGGAGGTTGCTCAAATGAAGAGAATGTATTATGCTCCAGAACACAGACTGGAAACAAAAACCTGTAGCCTTTTATACCTGGGCGGCCTCCATGGCTATCTAGTCCAACTTTATGATGGAGAGAGGAAAGTGAGGCTCTGAGATACACAGCTAGAGAATAGGTAGTCCCAGAGACAGAATTTAGATCTCCAATCTTCCATTCTCTTGTTCTTTCTGTGATACCAAAGCATGACATTGTTGAACTGCTAAAGCAGAGCCATTATGGCTGCATTTGGGAATGGTTATTTCTCAGACTGGGTTTGAAAGTAGCTAGTACATCAGACTTATTTACTCCTGTCAATTTTGCTTGTTAAACTTTAGACTTTATTAATTGCCTTGTTTTCCAGGTACTGTTCCATATTGATCCCACCTTTCTTGTAAACCTGTCTATATATGCATAAATGAAATTTAAATAAAACTAGAAAAAGAAGGACATTCATGAATATATATTTCTGGGCTTAAATTCTCCTGTTGACTAATCCATACTGTGTTTTGAGGGAAATTCAAACACTCTTTTATGTGAAGATTTAGACTTCATTTTTCCTTAATGACCAGAATAAAGTTCTTCTCTAAAAAAGAAAATGTGGGAATTTTGTGACAACAATCCACTTTTAAAATACAGCAAATAGAGGACTAAAAGTGACACAGGTTCCCCCAAGATGAAGTTATGAGAAATCATGCAAGTAAAATGCAGATTGCAACCATACAGAAGCAGAACCTTAAATACAAGAATATTTATTAATTTAAGGTTTTCTAGAATACTTTTCAAAATAATTTCAAATATACTAATTCCCCCAAATTAAGTCATATCTTAACTTCTAGTAAGATCAAAATCTATATTTTTAATCAAAGGTTCATACTTGTATCTTTTCTAGTAAAAGACCGTATAAACACGTTGGAAACTACATTTTCCTAATGCCCTCATCAAGGAATAGCTGTTCAAATTCACGAAGTCACAGGCTGATTAACCAGAATCCAAAAGACACAGCTAAAAGCTGGGCAAAGTACAGATTCAGAGGGCCACAAGGTCTTTAATTAAGAGCTATCTGAAACCTTCAAAAGGAAAATAATTCCAGAAGTCAAATGGAAGGGAATTGTATACATTATCTCCATTAAAGAGCATAAAGCAGCTTAGTTTCTGCCAGACAACAAGGACAGCAAAATTATTATCAGCTAGGAGGAAAGGGTCTTTGCCTGTTAAAAATTTTATTTTACCCTTTCTCCTGTCATTTCCTAAGATCTTTGAAGCCTTTAGCATTCTATTTTTGTTCTATCAACACACAGAATTTGCTTTAAAAGTAGAAGGAAACTAATTCAGTATCTGGTCATGATATATTCCATAAGCTGAAAGATCTACATCCAGAGTTACAAACTCAAATGCTTGCAGGGGTGAGGAGTAGGGGTTTCTGGGCGTCAAGGCATGTGTGAAACACAACACTCCGGTGAACTGGCCACTATTCAGGTGCACCACATGTCTGCCATGCGAAAACGTATGTCTAGTGCTGCCAGATCTTCAGAGAGAAGATGAGCATCCAGATTTTTTTTTTAAATTTTAAATGTTCTAGTTTGAAAATGTGGTTAAAATTGTTTTTAACTGCACAACCAAACAAAATACATATTCAGTTGCTCAGAATCTGCAGGTGGCCAATCTACCTCTGATTGCAGGCATTTGTATCACACCTAATAAACTCTCAGTAAATTCTATCTGCTATTATTAACCATCTTGTACCTGATTACTCAGAGTCTTTGTAATTGGTCTACTCCAATTTCTGGAGTTTTCTGAAAATTTTCCTACATTTCTAATTAAACATTAATTGTTCAAGTCCTAGATTTCTCTTGGTGTTCTGATGCATTCTGGTGAAAGTTTTGGAAAAGGTATTCAACTTAGAGATAATACTTGCTTTGTATATTAATGCTATTTTCAAAGTGGCTAAACACTACTAATTTATGATATGGTCACTAGAATGAAGATCAAGCTATATTTCTAAAATTTATATAATTTTCAATATGAATATGCCTCCCAAAAAGAAAATACTGTGGCCTGTTACCTCATAGTCTCTACAGTGTCCTTATACCACAGCATAGTTTTGTTTTGCTGTTTTTTGCAAAACAGGATTAATTTAAATTCAGTTAACTAAGATAACTCGGTCTTAGTCAATATGAGTAAAGTATTTTAAAATACATATAAGAGGAAGTATTTGTAAGAGGAAGCAACCAAACCTAATCTGTCTTGCTTGTCAAATTCACAAAATAACTAGCCTCAGATATTGGAGTTTTATAACACCGTCATTTGCTAAATTCAGTGTTATGGGGAAACATGGAGGAAAAATGAAGAAACACAGAGGAAAATGAATGATATTTTTCTAGCAAAGAATTAGAATATATGATCATTATGTTTAGTAGGATGATTCCAGCCAATATTCCTATTTATTTTTAAATATTCTAGGGTGAAGACAAACTATCTTGCAAGCATCTATATGCCCCCCTACTGTAGGTGTTTGTCTATATTCAAACTTGTTCCTATGTACATTACAAGTCAGATTACAGAGAACACCTATTATCCAATCAGACATGTTTAAGGCAATCTTCTGAAACTCCTCTTGGGAAGAGAAACAAAGAACCTGCTACTAACCAAGGTATGATTAAGAGGTGATCAGGCTGAAGAATCAACAAAATGGACACTTCCAAAGAAAAATGAGGCAAGAGAATAGGGGGAAGTTTCATCCTTGAAAATGCACACACAACTAAAAATGAAAAGGTGTACTTGTAAGTTAAAATTGCTGTAAGGACAACAGGAGGAAAACCAATGAGGAACAGAGAAATTTGAAAGTACCTCAAGCAAACGTCAGGCCACACAGTCCTTTCAATATTTAAAGTGGCCAAATTTAGTTAATTTTGAGAAAGATTCGGGGTCAAGGAGAATAATCGAAATTGGCAAAATATAAAGAAAAGCTACCGAAGAGCAGGAGGCATATTGTACTGCCACATAGCATGTGATACATAGTTGGCTTTTAATTACTCAGAAGTGGGCCACTTAGCTTAGTAATAATCATAATCACAATAATAGGTGCTTATTTTATTTTTGGAAACAAAAAGACTTGGGCCCACATTTTGATAAATTTGCAATATTTTGATTTCATTTTTTGTTTTTCTGTGCCTTCTGCTCCTCTTCCCTCCTATCATCTGGACTTTCTACAAGTGCAGTATCCTGCTCAAGGTGCAGAGATTGCCAAAATTGGGTCAGTGGGCAGGATAAGAGGTTATAGCACGTATTGCAGCATCAAATTAGGTGAGTTAAAAGTACCTAAGTGATGCTTTTAACTTCCCAGTGCTTGTTTACATGGAAACACAATATTTTCATATTTTCCAGTGGAGAGATCACCTGTGTCAGACATGTATCAGAATCCTGGGAATATGTTTCCAATAGCCAGGCAACTGAGAAGACAACATTTTTTTTTTTTTTTGAGATCTGTTTCAAGTGGCTCTAAAATGAAAAGGTATAGGTACATCATATCAGACTTGTGCTGCGACTGAAAATTGCCCACTGGCACTAAAGAGTAACATCCAGGAGGTGATTTACGTTTTATAAAGATCCTCTTTTCCAGTTTCTGGCAATTCCCGGAGGAAATATTTTGATTTGCCGAAACAAAAACAAAACCCTCCAAAACTCTGCACAACTCCTCTTTCCCAAGCCAGCTTCATAAGCATTCGAGATGCTATCATATCGTGTTGCACATTAAACAAAAAATTAACTTAAAAATGTTTGCCTAGCTCATGGTATCTATGTGTTGCTTGACTGATTCAAGTGGAAGCTGCAATAAATGAACTTAGTACCTAAAATATTTAATCATATGCTTGTGCTTGAGTCAGAGGTGAATCTTTACAAAATTTCCCTGGGGTTTTAATAACAGGGTTGTAAAATCACTTAGCAACCAACTTCCTTTTTTCCCCCTGTGGCATAATTAGACCTTGTCCTGGTTCACAAAGGTTTGTTTTTAAAATTCAAAACCTTGTTTAGGTGTTAAATACAGTCAGTCATTAGATATGCACATGGTGAAAATGAACAGAATAACGTTTGGCCAAAATGTGGAGAGGACTTTTTATTTCTTACCGGACTTTTCCTCTAAAAGCGTAGGCATGGGGAGGAAAAATAAAGAGAAAATGAGAGAGGTGAAATGTATTATTTCCAAGAAGAAACAGCTGAAGGCTCAGAATAGCCTTACTTAAAGCAGCTCTCGAAGGCACAGCTTTCATAAATGTTTGCTATGGGTATGTGATACGGTCATTCCTAGGCTGCCGTTTTTAGTTCAAGCCACAGAGGGCACAGGTGTGGCTTCCATTTGAACACATTCTAAACTTTCCCTTGAATGGTTTATTTTTATCAAATGGATTTGTGTCTTGAAAATAGAACATTATGCCTTGTAATATTAAAAGAAGTTGAAAAATGCCATTAATTCATTGCAGCCAGGCATGGTCATGAAACTAAAACATGAGTTCCAGAAGCTCCAGTCTCACCAGGGAACCCGGTACCTATTGCCTTCTTCTAAGGCATCCTGGCTGGAATCATCAGTTCTTCTTTGATGCCATCTTTCATCTCCCCCCACTCTCCAAGGACAATTACAAACTCTTTTCCTGGTGGTGGTCCCTGGCCCCCACAAAGCCCTCTCATTTACTCAGCAGCTGTGTTCGTGAGGGCTGCGTCGTCTCGGGCTGCCAGTGGCCCTCCACCGGGCTCCTGAGTGTGCTTCCTAGCCAGGGGTCCTATTCCAGTTTCATCTTCTAATCCAGCCCTCATGCTCTCCCTAGAATTATCCTCCAAAAATAGTGAAGTGAATATACAGAGATACTTCAAAAAGTTCGTGGAGAGATTCATATCACCTTTTAATTCTTTTTTTTTTCCATAAACTTTTTGAAGTATTACTGTACCCTTCAAATTCTGTACCCTTCTATTCGAAAAATAGAATGCAAACTCCATTCTGTGGTACTTAATGCCTTTGTGATGGGCTCGGTTTACCTGCATGCCCCGTCTTGCACTATCCTCTTTCTGTGCAGCCGGCACTTGGCTGCAGACGCCCCTTGACCTCCTGTATGTGCCGCACACTCACACGCTTCCCTGCCGTCCCTCACACTGCTTCTTCAGCCTTCGAGGGCTTCTCCCTCTCCCCCAATCTAAATCTGACTCATTCTTCAAGGCCAGCAGCATTTCTTCCATGAGAACTTTCCCAAGCTTTCTGGTCAGAATAAATGGTTCTTTTCTCTGGTTTGATCACAGCATGTTCCTCTTGTTCAGAATAATAAATAAATATTGAAGGCCTTGCCATTTGCCTGACAGTTATTAACCTCAGAGAAAACAAAGGCACACCTTGCGAGTGTATTTTTGCAGTTCTTATTTTATTCTGTACTATTTAGATGTCTTCGCTCTATTAGTAGTTCACACTATTGGTTATGAATGGACTCTCTCTAGCCCCAAACGTGGTGCTACACATGTAGTAGGCACTAAAAACATGTTTATGAATTCTCTTTTGGGGGGCATTGACACATTACACAAATGTTTGAAAAACAGTGTCTCTTGAAATATGGAAAGATGGATTGCTCTCTGTAATAAGGCTGATTTGTGTATGGCCCAAGGCTGAATTGTAATGGTTACTCCACCAGTTCCTATAAATATTTCACTTAGCTGCTACTTAACTGTTAATTTCTCTGCCCATTAGTGACCTCAGGTGCTAATGCATGTTACAAAAGTTCCAAGGAAGTCACACAACTTTGCACAAACATAAGTGTAAAGTTATGTGACCAGATCTCCAGTATAGAATTTTCTCCTATAGCAAAAACAAATGCTTCCAAATAGCTGAGGGGCCGAGAGGGGCCACATCCAGGGTGCCACTTTCAGACCCAGATCCTTGGTAAGTAGCACAGGAAAATAAAAATTAACAAGGTCCAGGTGCTCAATCTACAGACAAAAAGAATGTTTGGATTAAGATAAAATAGCCTTAAAGGGGTTGTCAAGGTGGGAGAAGGAGCATGAGCATTTATATATTCAAATTAACTCAACTCCTTATTTTCTGGATGCCTTCAGGCAAGTCACATTGTGCCTCAATTGCATAATCTGCAAAGGGATAATCACTACCTTGTAGGATTGTTATGAAGAGTAAAAGAGAAGGGTGATATTGACAATTGACATTTAGTGAGAACTTACTATGCTTTACCTTATGCAGTTGGTGTCATTATCATGTCTAAGTTACCAATGAAGGAAAGGAGGCTCAGAGTTCCAAGATCACATGGTTACAAAAGAGCAGAGCTTGGGGCCAGATCCCAGATTGGCTAATTCCAGAAAGCCTGGTGGGCTCCAAGTCGCCTAAACTGATTGAACCCACTTTTGGGGCCTTATCAGCATTGGGATCCAGAAACAACTCAGCTAAATGCTCACGGATCACAGAGCCTGGAAGATCTTGAATCTTTCTTCTTTTTTTTTTTTTCCTTTTTGTCTTTTTTCGTGACCGGCAACGGATCGCAACCCTCGGTGTCACGCCCGCACCTCGCTCAGCCAGTGAGCGGCCGGTCTGTATGTGGGATCCGAACCCTCAGTGGAGCGCCGCGGTGCTCCCAAGAGGCGCACTGTAGCAGTGCGCCACCGGGCCGGCCCAAGATCTTGAATCTTTCAGATTGAGAGAATTAAATAGATCATGCCAGTCTATCATAGCAAGACTTAGAGAATGAGCATCTCAGAGAGTGAGCTTTTGTTTCTAGGCATGCTTTCAGTCGGTGGGATTAAACTCTGGTTAAAATCAGCCTTTTCTAGAATTAAATGCATTTTTAAAATTAACATCAGAGGAATAAACATGAATACACAAATAACACACAAATAACTCCTCCTCTCCTCCTTCCACCTTCCGCTCCAGGCTATATGATATACCAAGCCATCTTTTGCTTTGTTAGCAGCTGCCAACACCTAGGCTGTGTCTTCTTAGCTTAATGGTTTCTTCAGAATGTTAAAAAAAAAAGAAAACAAAAATAAAACTTGACAATTCTCTTTAGGGGAAAAAAGGATATTTCTTGATTTAAATGAGCTAATAGCATCAGAGTTGATTTTTAATTATGAAAAATATGAATAAGGGAACTGGGAAAGACATACCTCTGGGCTGTGGGCTCATATGTAAATAGAAATAGAGTAAGCAAATTTTTGGACTGGACAAAACATTTACCTAAAAAGTAACCACCGAATGGTCTCTAAGTGCGGGGACTTTCTTGTCTCAAGGCGTAAGAAACTAGCAAATCGTTAAGAAAAGAAACAGGGAATTACTACTCATATTTTTCAACCATCCAATAAAGGAGAAAGAAACTTGGTTAAGTTGAAGGGGAAAATATGAATGAAACTGAGAGCCATAAATTTGCTCCCCTTCTAAAAAAATGTAAGGAATATAAGTTGCATTATATCATAGCTAGATGCCAAGTTCCATATAATTTCTTATGGTGAAGAGCATCTATCCACCCAGCAAGTATTTTCTAAGTACCTACTGTGTGTCATTAAATGTCGTGGGCTCTAGAGGAAATGCCCCTTGGGGAAAAAGTAAGAATAAGAACCTGTAACCTCTGGGTGAAGGATTAGTTGTTAGAAACCCAACACTCAGTGAATTGTTCACAAATTATGCTTCTGTTAAAATCTGATTTTCCAATTGATTGCTACTTTACAGAGCCCATTCTACCCTGATTATGACCATTAGCTAATAAAAATAGTTTTAAATTCTAAACTCTACACTGGGAGGATTAATACTTACAACCGAGGCAGAAGACCTCAAAGATATAAAAGGTAGCCTTTTTTCATCACAATTAACATTATAATTAAAAGCATACAATTCAAGAATTTTCTACCTCTGGTGAAGTCATCTTAACATTTTTACATGTCAATATTGTGAATACATAGTCTCTCTCATTCGATTAGATTTTAAGCGGTACCAGAAATTAAGTGTTTGTGGTCTCCACCCATGATGATCATGTTTTCACAAGACCCAAATCAGATCAGCTTGCCTGAAACAGTATAATATGATGTCAGAATGTGAAGTTACACAAGGAAAATCTAACTCTTACACCTCACAAAGGAAAGCAAAATACCATGTGCTCAGAGGGGTACAACCAACGTCAATTGGAGAAATAATAGCAAAGGTGCTCCAGATTGAATATTGAACATTCTGCTCATTTCTGAGGAGATCAAAACATGCAACATCTCAGAGATTTCTTCTAAGCATTGGGGGGGGGGGCACGAGATGTTTAAAAAATGATATTTAAATTTTAAAGGTCAGGAAATGGAAAGCAACAGAGAATTCCCTAGGAAAAAACTTAGTAATGAAGGAAAGAACAAACACATATCAAATTCAAAACTAATTGTTCTGTAGACAATCCATAGTTTATTAAAATGTAGGGAAGAGAACAATATATTTTGAAAAAGAAAGTTGCCTTCCATTTCCTCATCTCTATAAGGCCTTAAAAAAAAGTTTCATCTTGTGCTAACTCTGGTTGATTTTGGTTGGGCTGCCCGTAGCTCTGTCTAGAGGGGGCTTCTCAGACTCCATCTGGAATCTCATTGCAATGTTTGCTGAGGGTTTAGAGGGGGTGTGGCAGCTTATATATATCCCCACGTTTGATACCCCTGGTCTAGACCAACTCAAATGACATTTTCCCTATGAAGCATTCCTTGATGAGCAGAACCCAAGCTGAGCCTCTGCCTCCCATCTTCCTGCACATGAAGTCTGGGATGAGCACCAGAACAGGTGCAATCTTCAGCCTCTCCTTGCACCGTGCACTGTTTTTACCAGGAGAGAGGGCTGGCGTGTAGGAGACTGGAGCTCTCCTCCCCCACTGATGACTCTTTGTTTTTACTGAACTCAATGGGGTGCTGAACTTTCTGCCAAAGTGAGGACAGGAAAGGGGGTGGTGTTACCAAGCAGCAGCAAATTCATGGATTTTGCTCCCTGCCAGGCTAATTTGGGAGTGGGAGGGTGGGTGGACCACCTGGAATAGGCAAACAGCACCAGACTGTCTCCAGTTCAAAGCTATCTCCCCCTCCTCATATTTTACAGTTAAATAAATGCTTTATGGATTGAAAATCTCCAGGATCAAGATTAAACT